TGTCTTCCTGAAAATGGCACCTGGAACAGCTGGTTGCTGCTTGCTGACCTGTGCATAACTGGCTTTCACAGATTGTCTGCCGAAGCTCAACGCCCATCGAGATGGCCGTGAAGGAGAAGATTTCTATGTTTTGTCATGTGAACCCTGAACAGGTTGGTGCTTGCTCCTCTGGGTTTTATTGTCTTACAGGCACTTCTGCTGATACCAACGTTTTATACCTCTACAATTACTGTATTACTTTTCATGGCATTCATGCAAAGTTTGGGGGACTCCTATTTAGCCAAGGCTCCTTAGCTGTTAAGTGAACAGTCTTTTTTTTGGGTGGTACTGGGGTTTGAACTCAGGGCTTCACACTTGCTAGGCAGGTGTTCTACCACTTGAGCTAATCTGCCGGCCCAAGTGAACAATCTTAAGACTTTTATTTTTAAAAAATGTTTTTTGGGTGATACTGGGGCTGGAACTCAGGGCCTTATGCTGGTTAGGCAGGTGCTCTACCACTTGATACCCCCCACCCCCCGTCCCCAGCCCTTTTTGGTTTAGTTATTTGTCAAATAGGGTCTCATGTTTATGCCTGGGCTGGGCCAGACTGTGAGCCTCCTGTTTACACTTTCCACATAACTGGGATCACAGGCATGCGACACCTAGCCCAGCTTTTTTATTGATTGAGACAGGGTCCTGAGAACTTTTGCCCAGGCTGGCCTCTAACTGCGATTCTCCTGATCTCTGGCTCCCAAGTTGCTAGGATTTTTTTTTTCTTTTTCGGTACTGGGGCTTGAACTCAGGGCCCACACCTTGAGCTACTCCACCAACCCTTTTTTTTTGATGAATTTTTTTTGAGATAGGGTCTTGTGAACTACTTGCCTGGGCTGACTTCGAACTATGATCCTCCTGATCTCTGCCTCCTGAGTAGCTAGGATTACAGGCATGAGCAACCACCTCAAGCCTAAGTTTAAAAAAAAAATTTTTTTTGAGACAGAGTCTCTGTCTGGAGCCCAGGCTTGCCTTGAGGTCATGATCCCCCTGCCTCAGCCTTCTAAGTGCTGGAATTACAAGCACATGCCAATCTTGAGACTCTTGATTACTTAGCTACAATACATGTTTCTTTGCATGATTGCTCCTTTAATTATAAGCCCTAAACCAGGGTGGTTATCTCTTGCGGTTTGAGCTTGGCTTCACGCTTGCTAGGCAGGCATTCTTACCACTTGAGCCATTCCACTAGCCCTTTTTTATGATGGGTGTGTTTTTTTTCAAGATAGGGTCTCTCCAACTTTTTGCCTGGGCTGGCTTTGAACTGCGATCCTCCTGATCTCTGCCTCCTGAGTAGCTAGGATTATAAGTGCGAGCCACCGTGCCCAGCCCAGGGTGAGCTTTTTTAGTTCTCAGATGAATTTTTAGCAAGGGAACGATGTGAAGGTCCCTTATGTCTTTTTACCCTGTCTTTCCTGTGGACACTACTGCTTTCGCTCATTTCTGCTTTGTGCCTATTAACAGCTTCACTCACTCTAACGACATGAGTACGTTGACGCTGGCACTATGTCTTCTGATCACATCAGTGGCCTCAGTTGACTTCATTGCTACAGAAACTGTAGCATGCTTTGGACTTAGGCCCTCTGTTCTACAGGACTTCCCACCTGGGTATTCTGCTAGTTTGCTTTTCTTTTCCTTCCACCTCTTACCTTCTTTCCATCTCTTGTACCCAATAAGGCTTGGGTACAAGGATTGGCGTTAGCTGTAGTTTATGAATGGCGATATTAATGGTGCTCAGGAAAAGGGTGAGGTTTGGCAGAAACTTTTTTTCATGTGATTCTGGGTTCTCTGAGTCTGAAAACCATTTGATAGGATTTCTGTGTGTCGGGGGGTGGGCCGATGAGGGACCTCTTGCCTGGTGCTTCAGTTAGTGCACAGGTCTGAAGTACTTTGAAAAGCAAGGGACTTTCCTGTATTTGTCTGTTATGCCATTTTATTTTTGTGCAGTTCTTTTGTGTACCCTTCCTATTGGTAGATAACACTTTGTGTTGTAAATTAAGCAAATACAACCTAGTTTCCAAAATAGAAGAGGATAAATCAAGCTTTTCAGGTTGGATTGCTGAGAGCTGTGAGAAAAGAGATGTAGTGCAAACCTTAGAGCAGATATAGAGCCTCTAGTGTACAGAACAGTGGGTTCTGAAGCGGCTATCCTAGCAGTCCACAGGCTAGTTTTTTCTGATGTGAGTTAATTTACTTCTCAGTTCCAGTCTTCTCATCTGTATTGCGAGGAGGGCTGCAAGCTTCTCTGTGGATGTGGTCCATTACCATGATACTGGAAAAAATCTCTCTCTGGCCTTAAGGATAAATGAGTAAATAACTCCACATTCCATGCCTTGTACTTGTGGGTGTGGTGGCTCTCCAGAGATTTAGCAATTTTGGTTTTTTTGAGACAGGAATTCACTTTGTAGCCCAAGCTGGCCTTGAACTAGTGATCATCCTGCCTCAGCCTGTTGACTGCTGGTGGGTTTTCCTTCCTTCCTTCTTCCCTCTCTCCCTCCCTCCTTCTTCCTTCTTTTTTTTTTTTTTTTGTGGTGCTGGGGATTGATCCCAGAGCCATCCACATGCTAGGCAAGTGCTCTGCCACTGAGCCACACCCCGGCCTGAGATTTAGTTTTAATTAGTAATTGGGGTAGAGCCCCGTAGCAGTGATATCTTGGCATTTAGAATGGCTCTGGTGAATGCCCAAGCGAGGCACTGTAGTCTGAATATCAAGGTGGCAGTATTCGAACAGCTTGAGAACTCTTGACTTCATAGCTCTAGGTTGGGGAAAACTCAGAAGCATTTCTTGGCACTTATTGACAGTGTGGCCGGATCCTCTAAGGCTTCCAAGGCCTCAGATGTGTGGAGTGCACGTTGAAATCCCATTAGGGTTAGTGTGAAGAATGATTACAGCCAGGCACAAACTGCTATTTAAAGGTATTCTAACAGGTGTCATTCATTTTATGGTGGTCAGTGTGCACTTGTAAACGTACCCAAATAAAGGGAGCAGGGGACAAGGCTGTCATCAAAAGCGGCTAGAGTAGTAGCAACAACGAATGAAGGAACAAATAAACCACATCCACACCACTAGAAGCAAGGCGTATTATTCAGTGCTCCTGCTTTAACTCTGACTTCCAAGCTGGCACCTTGGGCAGTGCATCTTGGGTACTGACATACAAAGCATGTGTGTTCTAACACCAGTTCTTCCACACCAGCATGGCGTCCTACCATGCAGTTCTGACCCTATCTACGAGAGCATTCATATCCATTGTTCCAGGAGTAGAAGAATGAATCAGTTTTAAATCCAATTAACCTCTTACTCTTGTTTAGGCTACTGGTTTTTTTGTTTGTTTGTTTATTTCTTATTTTTTAATTTTTTGGTGGCACTGGGGCTTGAACTCAGGGCCTCACGCTTGCTAGGCAGGTGCTCTACCACTTGAGCCACTGCACTAGCCCTGTTTTGATACGTGGTCTCACTATGCAGCCCAGGTAGGCCTCGAACTCACTATCCTCCTGCCTCAGCCTTCTGAGTAGCTGGGATTACAGGTGTGCACCACTATGCCAAGCTTTCTTTCTTTTCTCTTTTTTTTTGGTGAGACTGGGATTTTTGAACTCAGGGCTTTGTGCTTGCAAAGCAGGCACTCTACCAAATGAGCCACAACTCAAGTCCATTTTGTTCTGATTATTTTGAAGATGGGGTCTTGAGAACTATTTTCCTAGGCTGGCCTTGAACTGTGATCCTCCCAATTTCAGCCTCCCGAGTAGTGAGGATTACAGGTGTGAGCTGCTGGCACTGGCTTCTTGCTTTTCTTATATCGATATGAATTAAACTGCCAGTCTCTCTAGTTTTGTCTTATTCTTGTGGCATGTTTGAGTCAATCACATAGTCTAACTATGATGTTTCATTGTCGTTACCAGGTCATGTGTATCCACGATGTTTCGTCCATATACCGAGTGCCTGTGCTTTTGGAGGAACAAGGCATTGTTAAGTATTTTAAAGAGAGACTGGACCTGCCCGTTGTTGATTCTTCAAGTAATTTGCTTTACAGGTGGAGAAATATGGCTGACAGGTATGTGAGAGGAATCACTATGTACTTATTCATAATTCCTGAGTTTGGGACTGGGACTCAGACCTGCTTTAGAGGGTCAGTATGCCATATTTGGCATTGTGTATGTGTACATTTTGGTCTGGATAGAACTAAAGCTGTATACATTGTTATGATGTTTTACTTTTTCCCCTTTAAAAAATTTTTCTTTTCTTTTTTTTATTGTTTCATTATTCATATGTGCATATCTTTCTTTTCTTTATCAGTGTATATTAATTGACAAGGGGTTTCATGTGTATTGCCATACATGCATGTAATGTACTTTGATCAAATTCACCCTTTCTGTAACTCTTTCTTACCCCTCCCTTTATTGAACAATTCTCACTCTATTCTGTTTTCTTTCTTCTTTTGTTTTTTGTTGGTACTGGAGTTGAATTCAGGGCCTCACGCTTGCTAGGCAGGTGTTCTGCCACTTGAACCACTCTGCCAGCTCTTTTTTGTGATGGGTATTTTTGAGATAGGGTCTCCTGAAGTATTTGCCCAGGCTGACTTCAAACTGCGATCCTCCTGATCTCTGCCTCCTGAGTAGCTAAAATGACAGGTGTGAGCCACCTGCGCCTGGCTCATTTTTCTGTTTTTATACATGCGTGTGTGAAGTATTGCAAGCATATTTACCCTGCCCTTCACCCTCTCTTTTCACCCTCCCCTCCTGACGTTTTACTGTACTCTTTGAAGATTTCTGGTGCCTTTGACTTTGCTGTACTTAAACCAAGTGAACTGAAGGAATTTGGGTTTTGGAAGGAATCTTTTTATTTCCAGAAGGATTTTGGTTTATGTATTAATTTCTTTCTTTCCTTTTTTTTTTGAGATAGGGTTTTGCCATGGCACTCCCTCTCTCTGTCTCTCTTTCTCTTCCCTCCCTCTATATATACATGTATGTATGTATATGTGGCCCAGGCTAGCCTCAAACTCTTGATCTTCCTGCCTTAGCCTCTCAAGCACTGGAATTACAAGCATGTGCTACTTCACCTGGCTAATTTCTTTCTTGGTTACAAAATATTTTACAGGTTTTTTTTTTTTTGTGGCAGTACTGGGGTTTGAACTCAGGGCTTTGCGCTTGCTAGGCGGGTGCTCTACTGCTTGAACCATGCCTCCAGCCCTATTTTGCAATTTCAAATGTTGCAGGCTTTTCTGTTTTGTTTTTAAGATTTGGTTACCATTTCCCAAAGAAAAGCCTTTGAATGGAAGTCTCAGCCTATGCCATCATTATTGTTCTGTCCTGCAGTTAGCAAAAATTCAACATCATGATTAAAATTTCCTGGTGGGTTTTAGCTTTAATGTAACTCTACTAATTTTTTTCCTTTTTCTGGTGGTACTTGGGTTTGAACTTCCAGGGCTTTGCGCTTAAGTAGGCAGGCACCTCTACCACTTGAGCCATGCCTCCAGCCCTTTTTGGTCTGGTTATTTTGAAGATAGGGTCTTCCTTTTTTCCTAGACCAGACAGGACCATGATCCTTCTATTTACACTTCCTGCCTTTGCTGGAATGACAGCACACACACTTGCCCAGCCATTGGTTAAGATGGGGTCTCACAAACTTTCTTGACCAGTCTGGCCTCAAAACCCCAATCTCAGCCTCCCAAGTAGCTAGATTACAGGAGTGAGCCACGTGCCTGGCCTATAACTGTATTAAGCAAAGTTTTATAATTTGAAGTCATGAAATTAAATCCCCTTCACCTGTTTTTTTCTTTTCTTTTTTTTTTTGGTGCTGGGGCTTGAACTCAGGGCTTCACCTTGAGCTACTCCACCAGCCCTATTTTTGTGAAGGGTTTTTGAGATAGGGTTCGCGAACTATTTGCCTGGGCTGGCTTCGAACCTCGATGTTCCTGATCTTTGCCTCCTGAGAGTAGGATTACAGGTGTGAGTCACTGGCTCCTGGCTCACTAAAATTTTAAAAAATGCTTTACCACTTTTTGGGCAAGTCGAATGAGGACTAAAGCTTATGAATGGTGACATAGTGAAGCCTGTACCTTCTAGAATGCTTACAGAGTTGGTAGTCATTTTGCAGGGATTTTCTGAGTAGCTTGGGGCTGATTCTCTTTAGCACTAGAAGTTTTTTTAAAAATTTTTTTCCACTGGAAATAGCTTTAAATTATACTTTATGCTTCTAAACTTTCTACAGTCAAAATGTTTGAATCTTGTATTAGTTCCCTGTGCTGTTGGAACAGATTACCACAAATTGAGCACTTAAAACAACAGAATTCGTTCTCTAGCATTCCTGGAGGTCAGAGGTCCAAAAATCAAGGCATCCACAGGGTTGGTTCCTTCTGAAGCCCTGAAGGAATGTCTGCCAATGCCCCTCTCCTTTGGTGGCTGTCCCCTATCATTGGTGTTCCATGGCCATGGCTGCATCACACCAGTCTCTACCTCTGTGTCCTCATCAGCTTCTTCCTGTGTCTCCTATTCTCTTTTATTAAGAAAGGTCAATATAAGCTTGACTTGGATTTAGGGTCCACCATAGTGTAGGATGAGCTCAGGGTGATCTTTGACTTAATCACATCAGCCAAGATCTGTTTTTCTACACAAGGTCGTATTCATAGCTTCTTGGTAGAGCTCTGCCACTGAGCTAGTCCCCAGCCCGGTGGGGGCTCATTCAACTCACCACGGTCTCCAGCACGTTGGCTGTGTAGAAATGACCATTGTGTAGCTGCTGTCCTAGAGTCCACTAGAGTCTGTAGAGAGACATGAGGTGTCAATGAGATTTCAAAGGAGAAGCCTTGATGACGGAAGCCCTGGGCTGCTCAGAGGCCATAGCTGTGTAGAGCACAAGAGGGTGACATTTGGTTGAGAAGGAAAGAGAGGGGAGCCCAAGGGACCTGCCCCTGTGCCATGGACTCACATCTCCCACCTCATCCGAGTGACTCCTCCTGTCCTGGGAGGACCAGCCATGAGTGAGTGGAAGGAGGAACCGACTGTTAACTCCAGTGCCGCCTCCTTCCAGCGCACAGAGACAGCGTGACTGCCAGCCCTAGTGGGCCACTCCTTGGAACATCCCTATTGAGAGCTGGCATTATGTCTAACTGCACAGACTTAGTCACTTCCTAGAAAGTCACCTTTCCTGGCAGTTTTGATCTCTTAGCTTCTTGTACATTTTTCTCCACCAGTCTGGTGTTTCTTTTTCTTTTTTTTTTTTTGGGGGTGCTGGGGTTTGAACTCAGGGCCTCGTGCTTGCTAGGCAGGGTACTCTACCAGTATGCGCCAACTCCACCACCAGTCTGATGGTAACATTTTTTCTAAGGTGCTTGAGGAAGGGCTTGCTTCAAAGCCCTAAAAACTTACCCCCCGCAAAGTGACATTTCACATACTTAATACCAGATCACATATTTTTCATGTTCAGTGAACAGATTTCCTGACAAAAGCAACACTAAAGATTGGGTCCCTAATGGTGACATGTGATTGAATGTCTTTTGTAGAATGGAATTTTCTCATAAAAATGATCTAAATGGCTTGTAATATTTTAAATAGTTCTCTTAGCACCATTCTTCAGGCATGCCATGGAATAACCAGACTTTGTGGGCCAGCAGGGAATGTAATAATTTTAAATACAGACAATTTGAATGCGTTTTCTTCTACAATGTCACCTTACAGAGTTAATATTGCACTGTTTCCGATTGACAAGTCAAATGCATTTTTCTTCTACAGAGTCACCTTATAAACTTAATTTATGAACAGTTCCTGTTTTGAGATACTTAACAAATCTTTTTGTTTTGAATGCTTTTAAGTTTTCCTTCTGATACACTGTCCCATTTTTATCTATAACCCACTATCTAAGGCAACATTGAGATTTCTTATGATTTTGAAAGCTGTTTGATGAACTGATGTTAGCTCTTCGGAGGGGAGATTGTGGTCAAGTGTGTTTGCTCCTAAGGTTGTAAAAGTGCCTTGGAATAAGGGCAATGGTGATGGTGTGTCACAGACATATAAACTTTGAGCTGTTCTTGCTTCTCAGGTACGAAAGGTTAC